AGCAGGGAGCACAACATCGATTGGTAAATGGTTATATTTATGAGTTAAATGGAAATCATGATTACAGATAGTGGTCTTGCGTTATTAGAGAGGCTTATGAGTATGTAGTAGTAGCAGTAGAGTAGTAGAAACAACATCAACAACAACAACATCAATTATAGAACAACATCAATATATTGGAGTCAGTAACAACATTGATTCTTATAATTTATAACTTATTTGCGTTCCCCAACAATATATAATGGATTTAATATAAATTGATATGTGTCTTTCTTATTCTTACCCAGCTTGAAAGAAAAGACATACACACACACCTTAAGACTTGATTAGAGACTTATAGACATTCAAGAAAGGAACATTCCGACACATTTAGGAATATATTTTACTTACCTTGAATTATTATTACAGGTTATTTTCTTAAAAGGTTATACTTATATATAAATAGGTGACGTAAATAATGTGCTAAACGTACAGCTAGATTATTTCATGCACAAGTAGTAACATTTACTAAACAAATAATATTGGTGCTGCAATCAAGGGGTAATCCACATACTATAAAAAATATAATATGTAAATGAAATAAGAAAGGAACCCTTTAAGAAGAATTCCGACAAAGCGTAGTGGCATTTAAAAAAAAAATTATCAAGGAACTAAAAATTTATTCAAACATGTTTTTTAGAATTCCTAAATTCCCATAAAATGATCTGTCATCATTGCGGATTTATTTTGTTGGTTGGAGATTGAATGCCGTGACGAGGTAGCATAACACCCACAAAGACGCACTGCCAGATATACGGCTGCAATGTAAATCGACATTTTTATTACGGTGTTGGAATATGTCATGCTCCTTTCTCCACAATAAAAATGTCGCGCATTCGGCTTTGAAATGCAAAAAAATGTTCAAGCGTTCCCACTCCATCCTTTTGTGACGGAACATTTTCGAGTTGAGGAGCTACCAGTTTTCTAATAAAATATATTTTTACACATGCGCATGCATAAAATATTCTCTTTGTAGTCGGTGTCGGCAATATTTCATGGGCTTTATAAAGTTGAAAATTGTTCCTTCTATGGCTCAGACAGTTTTTATGGCCAGAGAAGAGTATAGTCAGAGGCTGGTTCTTCAAACATTAATCAAATTCTTTATCTCAGTTGGGGCCAACTTTTAGGGGGTATTAGTATAAATTTGCTTGAAAACATAATTTTGGTCATATTTATTTAGAATTTTGTTACTAGAAAGAAGTCAAGAATGACTAGTTTTACTTGGTTAGAAAAATCTATATTAAGAATATTTTTATTCTATTAATGGTAAAAGTCTTTAGATGTCATGTAACTAAATACCAAGAGCATTAGATCTAAGGTCTGACGATTGATTCCCTTCAACTTGCTAAATCTTTCGTTACACTCTTCTTGGCACAGCTGGCTATCTTAATTAATTAACTGATTTGCAAAAATAATAATAAAACTGTCAGCCGCAAGAGAGAGCCGACTGAAATCTCCTGTCCGATTCAACATACTATGTGGCGAATATATATATATATTTTTTTCTTATCTCAAATTCCTCTTGGCCAGGACACGGGACCATCTCGCTTACTCTCCTGCTATCCTGGCCATGGGCAGAGTGGCCGTGGTCCTTGTTTTTCTGGAAACTGGCATCCGCCAACACTTAATTAAAATGGCATCCGGCCGAGGCGGAAAAAATCCTGAGCGGCCCAGCATGCCACTGCCTTCCCCGCCATCGTCCACCTCTATATGGATGTATATGTAGACCATCCATCGCCGGCGCGTCCAGTGGTGTGAGTAAGTGAATTCGTTTCCCGCTTTTGGCCGTTGATTGATATGCCAATGAAGCGAACGCCGAGCTCAGGGCTCCTATTCCATGGCCAGGCATATCTGGATCCCAGGGTCCAGGGAACAGGGACCAGAGACGATATACGGGAGAGACCCAAGGAAAGAATGCGGAAAAAATCTAGTTCGTTAGCTCTTATGCAAAGCGGGACAATAGTGTACACTGCGGCCCAATCGCTGGCGCAAAGTCAACAAATGCAGATGGGGCCAGATAAATTGCCAAACTGAAGCGTCCAGCACCAAAAGCGGCTTCGGGCCCAATAGGAATGGCTTGGCTTTTAGCTCAGTTAGTTGCGGTTCAGTTCGGTTCGGTTCAGTTCGTTTCGGCAGAGGCCTGCAATGGATGGTATGGTCAGGTTCAGCCCTCGTCTGGAATAACAACACAAATTTTTGCTTTTTTCCCTGCCGAAACAAAGTTTAGGTGAATAATGAAAAGAGGAGTGGCATCCGAAAGGTGTGCTATAAAATCAAAGGGATTCATCAGCACAGTGATACACTTTCCAAAGTTAAAACAAGTGTGGATAGCAAGTGTTTGACCAAATATTATAATATTACATTATAAGAAATCTTCTCTTATGATAAAGTCTTGTTTCAGTTGCACCTTAGAAGTAGAGACCAAAAATATTTATAGTTATTTATAGTCCTTTTTAAGGGTATTCAGAATTCATTAATTGCGGAAGACCTACAACTAACCACAAAATCCATTCATTCATGAATTGTGCTACATCATGGGCGAGCGTGATTAATTGCAGGCTGTGGTTAAATCCTTTTTAGTCCTGATTTCGGAATTTTTCAGGTTAACTTGGCTAGTTCTTTTTACTTTCCCTTCCTCTTTGTTTAAGTGGAGCGACATAGGAAAAAATATACAACAACCCTTGTGGCCAGGTAAACAAAAATTCCACGTTAAGAAAGGTTCAATTAATTTTATGCTTTTTCAGGGAAATTTAAACCAGTTGAAGATAGTTTGATTAAGAAAACAGGAAGGACAGAAAATTAGGATAGGTTTGTAAATGTATTTTTTGACTCAATAAGTACAAATCTTATACAAATTAAAAATTCTAACGCTTTTTTAAGGAAAGAACAAGAGGTTTAATTTAAATCCAGACCGGGAGTCTTGACCCTTTCCGCCTAGCATTTCTTCGACTTCCGTTCCTAAGGCTTTTGAATTATCAGTGACGGCCAGTCCCCGGCATATGTGCAAAGTTTCTGCCCACTTGCCGTATTTGCTGCCTTCTCTATCTACTTGGCAGCAGATATTTTTCATTTTTGAAAAAAGAAAATTATGACTTTTCCCACCCAATGCCCGGCTCCGCCCACTTTTTCGCCTCGTTTTGGGAAATTTGAATACGACAAAGCGGCGCATAAGATTCAGATAAAGCTAAACTGCCAGTTGCCATGAAAAGTTGAGCGGTGTTTCAGGCTTTTTTCCATGACCGCCGACTTGTGAGGCCGCAGCTTGACTTTTTATTTTTATGCTAAACTGTTTCCTCTCTGCAAAAGGCCGTATTTCGTTGGCGCAAAAAACTGGCTGCCAAACTGTGGCACAAAGAGGAAACCGGAAGTTATATCGTCCTCCGGATGATTACTGCACTTTCTGTGCGCAAGTTGTTGCCCCTGTTGAAGTGGTCTGAAGTCTCCGGGGCCTCGAGTTGAAGGATCCTTCACTTATCAAAGCACTCGATACGTTAATTAAAAGATCAGGAGGGGATTTTCTCCGAGCCTTGAACGGGTTAGAAGCCGTCTCGATTTAATAAAACAACTCTTGATTATGCAACAGGAAGAGTGGCTTCCTTCGGCTGAACAAAGGCGGAGAACAAAGGTGGAATTCCTCCGGCTCGCCCCCAAGTTTTAATAAGTAGCACACATGCAGCAACAGTCGACTTCTTGCCACACACAGTGGCACATTGGCAAGTGCACAGAAACCAGAGACAAGAACAAGCACAAGCACAAGTATAGAAAAAGTCGGGTCTGAAAGTTCTGAAAGAAGCCGAAGAGAAGAAAGATAAACTCTTCCCAACGCATCCAAGCCGGGCCTAGACTAAGAAAATGTAATAAATTTCCACACAAAAACAGCCACAAATTTCCCTCTCAGTGTTTGTCAGAGTAAACAAAGGAAAATATGAAAACAAAAGGCTGAAGGAGAGAAGAATACTTGGATGGCTGGGGATTGAATGGACCAGCCTATCTATATTCTTCTATCTTGGAAAAGCAATGGCAGAGGGTGTCCTCCGGTTTGTACAACTCTGGCTGCAGTTCACAACATTTTGCATATTCAATAAACTGCTTCTTGCCGACTTGTGTTTAGTTTGATTTCTATTTGAAGACTCTTTTTGTGTCGTCCTAAGCAAAATTAAATTTCAGTTATGAGTTTTTAGACCAGAACCAGGCACAACCAGAGGCGGGCACACAATCAAGATTTGTTGTTTTTTCCAACAATCGAAATAGTTGTGGAGGTCAGGAGAAAGGGCCACCAATTTGCAGAGAAACAAATATTATGTTTTATTTATTTTCTTTCGGCTATTCAAATAAGTTTACAAAATTTTAATTACTTTTCCAACCACATGGCCATAATACCCAGCAGGTGGGGGGATAATCAACACGCTGAAACATGTGTTCCCTAAACGCTTTTACATGGCTACACATGTTCGGCATTTAAAACTAAAACTCAATTAGGGCAAACATTAACAAACATAAATCACAAAACAAAACAGAAATATATCTATATATTTTGGGCAGTGAAAATTGCAATCAATTTTCAAGCCCTCTTTTGTCGGCCTGTCATAAAATTGCCCCTACCAACGCATTTAAGGATTGTCAGAGTTTTTGCAGAAATAATTTAGCACAGTGGCAGCAAAATCCACAAACATCGAAATCGAAAGCAATCAAAGGGGATTTGCACAATTTTCAGTTGGGCATGCAAGTTCGAATTTTTTTTGAGAGCACAACATACAGGTAGAAATACATCAAAGAGTAAATCCTTGTGGTATACATATATTTTTCTTATTTCCCTAAATATTTTAGTTGCGGGGGAAAGAGTAGTGAAAGATACCACAACAAATTATAAGAACAACACTCAAACAATGTGCATTTATGGGAAAATTATATGTCTAGCTACTTAATTGATGAAATTGAGGGCATTGCCCCTGGTCACTTACCCCTGCAATGGACTGCTTGTCATTGTGGAGCGAAGCCTGTGCCCCCGAAGTGGGCGATGTGGCAGGCGTGGCTGAGGTCTCCGGACTGAAGTAAGTCAGAAAAGCGCAACCTGCAATGACAATCATTATAATATCAATCAATAAACGCAAGTGTAAAGCGGGGTATATTCATGGTTTGGAGGATGATTTCCAAACTATCTCTTAGATTAATTTTATCTATTTTACCCGCTAAATCCATGTTCGTTTTATTTCACAATTAAAGCCCTGTCGGGTGGAATGTCCTGGTGAAAGGGACTGCAAGGACTAACCACCACACACACACACACACATGTCGGTTTGCGTGTGCAAAGCGTCAACGTGTTTAGCACAGTTTTGTGGCCATTTTCATAAATCCGTGTAATTTTCCCCACCGCTTGCTTTCCCATTGTTTGCCTGTGGTGGCCCGCTAGGTGTTGTTTTTAAAGGACGGCAGGGGGATCCTCCTGTCTCTGCTCCTCATTAACTGCTCAACTGCCGCCCCGTATTTCACCTGCACGGCGACAGGCTCGTGTCAGCCTAAACCGATTTAGCAACACATATTCCACCAGCACGAAGCCAGCCCCTGACATGTGGTCATACCAGGAGCACCCTGCTTCCCCCATTGACTGTCTGTTCCCACCCCGGGCTACACAGGGAAAACAGAAGGCAAATGATATGACTTAGGTGATCCTTACAACGATTGCTCGTATAGTATAAGAAATGGTATCACTGTGTTTGAGAATATTAGTCTAAAATCTGTGTTTATAAAGCTATCCTCTCAAAACTAAGAATCCTTGCTTAGCAGAACCCACTTGAATGACACTTTTAGAATGTCCTATCATTTAATTCTTATAACAGTAAATTGGTTTTCAAAAGTTAATGATCATAATTTTTGTCTATCTATATAGCTAGAAACTAAGAATTAACACACAGTGAAATCCAATTTTTTATCCAATTTTTATAACTGTGTATTGAATTTTTAACGTAAAAAATATAAAATAAAAATTAAAATATCAAATTAGGTCCTACAAAATTCTAAAGTGATCAAAGATCAATTTTTATTCGTTCGCTCTGTTCATAATAAACCGAATTTAAAAGTAAGACCACATATAACAGTAGTGGGGATCTAACCTGCACCTTTTTTTTGCCTCGGAGACAGAAGTATATTACGTTACATTGAGTAATTATGATAAATAAATATTTTTTTAAGCTTTTCACTTATGAAAAATATTGGAATATGATAAAAAAAATCTTTTTTAACCGTGCAACCACTGCAACAGCAACAATTATATTTAACTTTTAGCCCAAAACGCGCGCACGTTTAGGCCAGGAGTAGTCCTTTAGCCCGTCTCCCTGTCGCCCAGCCTTTTCCCGTGGCCTTTTGTCTGGGCAACTCAAAAGGCCACAGCATGCAACACGTCAAAAGTTGAACGACAAGCGACCAGCTACAACAACTGTAGGGACAAGTGCAAGAGCAACAACCGAACAACCGAGCAACTGAACAACCTGCCAACTGTCGACGTCAGCGCCGTCTAACAACATAAAAATTGTCGGCACATTGTTGAAATGCCAGGAAATTATGTGCAGCCCCACAGGACGAATGGCGAAAGGAAAGCCGAAAGAGCTGTGGGGGATAACAGCTGCCAGTAATTAAAATGAGCAATTCACATAGTGTAGCGGCAAAAACAGTGACCAGACCTCGCGCCTAATGAGTTTATTAATTAAAAATCACTCTCATATATACATGAATGTACAGTTGCGTGCAGTGAAGTAGCAAAGGTGCAGGAAAGACAAAAAAAGTTTAAATATTTTGGCTTGGTTTAAAGAATATATCAAAAAAAAGGTTATCATAATCATATTTGTTTCTTTTTTATACCAAATGATATGTTTTGAAAATTCGTAAAGCTTGTTTTAGATTTTTAGAACCTAGTAAGACTAAGAAAAAAAGAAAAATTATATACTCTATAATTAAGATCGCTTACTTTCAAAATATAATTCAAAATACGATTAACGTCTATGAAAAGATTTTAACAACTTTAATAACGAGTCAAGATATTTCCAGTCGTCGTTCATTAAACGACCTTAAACTAATTTATTTTAATTGCACCTTATTTCTGACAATTCACTTTGCCAGAGCAAATCTCAAACTCTTGCTCTTTGCTTCGCCTCCCCTAATTTACTTAAATTTATTAACCCACATTAACCACATTCCTGGCAGAATGTTGCTCATGGGGCCTTCGTAATGTGCCTCCGAAGCAATATTATAAGTTGCTTTAGGCTTTTAAAACTTTTCACTTTCAAGAGGAAAGTGCGGTTTGGTATCTCTTTTGCGGCAAATCAACTTTCAAACTGAATGCTAATGAATCATTTTCGCCAGCCCACTGACCGCAGTCGGTAAAGGTAGTTGGTCCACCCCACACCATTTATTAGTGGTTCTTGGCGAGGCCAAATTTATGTTTGCGGCTTGTTCAAGCAATAAACAAGACTGAACATGAAAGACCGGATATGAAAAAGGACTAGAGGTCTGACTGCAAAATTTAATTATCACTATTTTTTGCACATTTCCTATTAAACTTGCTCAGACGGAGTAGTAAAGAAGCAGAAAGTAAGGTAAAAAAAGTTGAATGAAAGTGAATTATAAAAAAAAGAAAAACCAATGGATATCGAAATTGCCAACAAATACAAACAGTCAACTCTCATCTTTGTCTTGGAATTCTAAGAAATGATACTCAAGTGTCCTTAAGAAAATGAAAGCATACTTTTTGGGGCGGTTTGTTTCTTGTATCGATTGTTCATCAGCATCTGACGATGTTTGAAAATTTCATTTTTGATATTTGTAAGAAAGAAAGAAATTTTAAAGACACGGTTACCTCCACTCAATTTTTGGCGCTTTGTAAGAAATTATATACTTAGAAGAGCCACAAACGATTTCCCTACCATATTTCCATGCCATATTTTTCGTGAACAAAGTTTGGCAAGTGCCCTATAAGTCGTGTGTCTATTCTTAAGCAAATTGCAGACTTATTAGCCACCACTGAATTATACACCACTTCTAAGTAAACCACAAAGGCAGCAAACAAGGGTAGCTTAAATTTTCTAATATGTATGGCTCAGGCGGCTAGGTAAATAATTGATACCACTTTTTCAAGAAGAGGCAGGAAGCCCGTCGCCAGTGTACTTTTTGGCCTCTTTTTATGGTATTAAGTTATTATGTGCTTAAACCTAAATATAATGCCGAGGGGCTTCAGATGTTGAACGCCAGCCGTGGCTGTGCTTTTATTGTTTATTGAGAGCTGGGCCGATGTAACAGGCCGATTTAACTGTCTCACCACTCTGGCAGCACAAAGGAGCAGTGCTGCCTTCGTTGAAACATCTTAAGTGCAGCCTCGAGTTGCTGTTATTCTTCGTTGCCTTCCATTTCCATCACACAGGAAATTGTTATACTTAATGGGTTTTTCCCAGTCTATGGCCGTCGGAGGTAAGTGGGCAACCTTTAAATGTTAAATGGAGCCCGCTTAATAATTGATTAGTTTGAGGCTCACAAGTAGTTAAGTCCCTAACCACCCGATTCTCGGGCACAGAGTGCGCATTCTAGCAATTACAGCTCTCCTAACAAATTTGCAAATGCAAATTGATTTTGCTGATGGATTTTGGGTCATATCAACATGGTATCTCACTTAGTAGTTGTACTGAAATTTAGTTTTGGGGTAGCTTAAGCTTTTTAACTCCTAGATTCGAAAATAAGTTTTAATTATTTTATTACGGAGCTTAGAAATTAATTTATATTTTATACTTACTGGCTATATGTTCGTTGTGAAAGGCCAACATGATCGATTTTTTTCTGGTACTGTTTCTTAGATTTCCGATGCCGAAAATTATATTTAGGGTCGAGTTATACGGTTTGTATTGTTCCTGATATTTCTAGCGCCTGCAATATCACGCTTCTTTTTTTCTGAACTTAGTCGTTGCTAGGACCTGGAAAAAATAATAAGGATTTTAGTTAAATATTATTTCTTCTTAAAAACAATTTTAAAATATTTGAAAGTTTATTAAATTGTTTTATTATAAGGGGGTTCTTAAAAATACTTGTCCAAATTTTTGAATAAATCCAAAAACTTATACTCAGGATATGTTCTAGTCCGTTAACTTCAAATCTTGTTATTCCTTTAAGATCCCGCCAAAAACTATTGTTTTCCGTATATGTACAAATATGAAGCTCGCCATTACCAGGGTGGGAGTAGTCACCCTTTGATTTTTAGTTAGACTCTCAGTAAGTTTGACTGCGCAACTGTGTGGCATTTCCGCTTCCGCAACGGAAGCTAATGGAAATGGAAGGGAGCAATTGCGAGGGTCCAAATGACTTGGAAATTCCAAGCTGGAATTGAAAAACAATGCACAAGCCATTTTTAAATAAATAAAGGGCCATAAAGAATTCTTCCTTATATGTGGCTAACAAAGTTTGTGTCTGGAATTTAAATATTGCCATGTGTGTGTGCTATTCCTAGCCAGGTTTGCTTTAATTCGCAACCTAATCTAAATATTATAAAAACCTTTGTAAGCTAACATAAAAAGGTTAAAGAACTGTTAACTTGTTTAAATTATTTTGCAGTAACGCATTAGCCCCATTATCGGCAAACTACGTCGAAAAGGTGTGACGAAAATAGGGTCCTTTCCATCTGCCGCCCCTTAAATGCGTCTGGTAAATCTTTAATGAGGGACCTAAACGCACTCCAAGTAAATATCGATTTTATTTTCTTGCTAATTTTCTGCTCGTTATTGCTATTCCTGCCCCCGAACAACAGGACAGCACACACGTGGGCCAGTGTTGAGTTGCTCCTTTTTTGTCCTCAACCAAAAAACAATGAGCTTTCCAGCTCGTTCTTTCCTTCTGCTGGCCCGGCTATGTTTGTGTTGTCTGCAACTTTTCTGACCATTCAACCAAAATAGTCCGGGACATTGTAGCAAAAACAAAGGGAGTGGAGGAGGGGGGTTCCAAGGACTATAAGGACTGCTACTGTGGGGATGAGGTTGATGATGACGATGACGATGACGACGTTCACGTCGACAGACTTCCTGACTTGCTGAGTTTCCTGCCTCGGCTGACTGTTTTTCTAAGCCACCACTGTGAACTTTAAAAAGGTATATTGGACTAAGCAAAGTCAGATTAGCTTATCTAAGCAGGGTATCTTCTGGTTCGATAAGAAACGGTCTATGTATTTTCTCATGCTTGTTTGGCTCTTCGTACAGAACACAAAACTTTGGGTGTAGGATTCAGATTTGCATTTACCAGTCTACAGGCCCGTTTTCCCCAACCATTTCACTTTACCCATGCAGAAGCCTAAGCAATTGGTTTATCTGTATATAAGCTGGGGCATACATGTGTCTGGATGTTAGGACGCCTCCTGCAGTAGACATTCGATTTAAAAAACCCTAATGATAATAGGTATGATTCTTCTTCGCCTAAATTGGCAATTTGATTGCCCTGCTATTGGCTAACTACTGTTAAATTATGTTAAATGAAGTTTGCAATACTTTTAGTCTGCCCTTACTGACTCCTGGCTTTAGTCGTAGCCCATTAGCATGGCCAACAAATTCCATTGTTTTGGCTTTCTGTTTAGCCCGCATTTATCTTCTCATTTCCCATCCGCCGAATTTTGGCAAACATAATGGAATTTTCGTGTAAATAATTTGCATGCTTTCAGCTTCACCTCATTTTACATGGTTTGGTAAATGGAAAGAATCTCTGTAGTGAAAAATTGACTTAATCAATTAACACATCAAGTCTTTGTTGAAGTTAAGGTTATAATTGAGAGATCTGGGATAGAGCAATTTTAATCATTTGTTTGCGAATAACCCGCCCTAATGTGTTGGTCACCTTTTTGCTTGGCTTTCTTTCCATTAATTTCCGTAAACCCTCATTTTGCCTTTTTGTCCTTGTGTGAAACTGTTTGTCAGGCTTATGAGCTTAAGCGAGGACACTCTCACATAGGAGGCGAAGAGATATTGCCGAGTAGATGAGCATATAAACACAAACACTGGGAGAAAAATAACTGCATTTAAAAACATACTAAAGCTCTGAAGTATATTTTATAAATTCTCTAAAAAATGTAAGCTTCACTTGAAGTCCAGGTGTTAATTTACTTACACCAAAATGAACTTAATTAGTATGACTGGCTATAAAGGAAGCTGGTAAGAATGTAGGCCAAAAGTTTTAAAAGCGCGGAAGGCGGTTTCTTTATGTCTACAAAGAGTTAAACTACATACCTCCATAAAAAACAGAAGAGCTGAGCTCACTAAAACTTATAAATTACTTTAATACTGATGATTTAAGGATAATAAAATCCACTTTTGACTTTTTTGATATATTTATAAAGTTTTAAGAAAGAGGATATTACCATTTCTATTTAGCAGAAGGTAGCAGCTTACTCGCGTTTCCAATTAGATCTCAACAACTGTAACCTGTGTATCTGCGGGTGTACATGCATGGGCATAATAAGTCAAATTAAATAAATTTAATTACATAACCAGCCCAATGCCAGGCAGAAGAGGTCCCATCAAGCCGGATACTCAACTTTTGCCAGTGAGTGTGTGGGTGTGTGTGGGTTGTGCGGTTGTGTGAGTGTGGCACAGGACACCCGCACATCCTTCCAACCGCCCATCCTGCCAACCACTTACCCACACAACTGTCCCGTAGATAGACCGAGTTGTTGTGCCGGAATGTTTGTGTGAATGCGCCTACTTAGCCTTTAGTTTCAAGTGCATGGCCTCTCCGGAACCCCCTCTTTATAAGGGGGATTTTATAGCCCCTACCCACAGGGTGCAGGTGCTCAAGCGAAGCCACACATATGCATTGGATGCTGTGTTAGTGTGTGAGAGTGGGGCTCCTGTGTGCAAGTTCGTTTAGTCCTGGTCGCCGTTCATGTGAGTGGTGCTCTGAATCAGGAGCACCCCATCCCCATACTCACCCCTCCCCATTTTTATCCTGCCACCAGGACCTCGTCCGCAATCGTCCACGAAACTCAACTGACTTTCTCCGTGGGCACCCACCTTTCTACCGATTTTCCCTTTCTCTGTTTGACTTAACAAGTCGTCGTCGTTGGGGCGGCGAGTAATTATGAAAATTTTCAAAATGAGCTCTCGTCCTGAGCTCTCCAAGCCCACGGTTCAGTTTTTGAAAGTTGAGTACGAGTAATTAAAAATTTCGTAGTGTCGCTGCCACTCAGTTCCCCGGTCTAGATTTGACTCCTGCCCCAAACAGAATTGTCTGGCATATGCTTATTTAGCTGTTGTTCCCGGAAATATGTAGGTATATGAATTTAAATTAAATTCATTTCGCTTTCCTATTTACCATACCTGCAAATATATACATATATAAACACTACACTATTAAGCCGTGTCGGTGAATGTGTTTTGTGTTGGTGGGCTTCCTTTTAATTAGAAAAGCGAAAAGGCATTTAGTTCTAAAGCGTTTCCATATAAAGGCTTAACATTACTGCAATTAGTTTTGTTGGCATGCCCAAGATGGCAGGTGCCACATAAAAGTACTTTTTAAAAGCATTTTAATTGAGTTCATGTAGGATGAAAATTAAGTCTTAATTAAGTAAATATTTGAAAAACAAGGTTAGGCTAACAGAAGAAAAGAGTGCAGTAATTTGCTTTATTTTCTCCATTTACCTTAAATATTGTTAAGTGAAGGGCAAAGTTATAAACAGTTTAAAAAGACATTTTGTTCACAATCCAATACGTTTTGAGTTTGATACTAAATGCCTCTATTCAAGCGGAAGTGTACCTTAATACTCTCTTTGTTTGCGCATTATTCTTGCCACCTAATTTCATCTCAAGAATATGATGATGCACATTAACAACTTGGCTAGCCACAAAGCAAACAAAATGGCATCTAATCTCACCATTTATGTGAGTATAAAGTGTGAGATAATGGTGCTTTTGTGGGGAGTAAGACTTTAGTTTTGAGCTTCTGAAGATGTGGCAGCGGAAGAAAATGCTTTAAAACGAGTACAATGCTATAAAGTATGGCATAAACATACACTTCGCATAAAAGAAGTACAAAAACTGTGCTAATAATAAGTTTTTTGATTCAAAAATTGATTTATTGTTTATTTTCATGCGTTCAGTGGTTATCTTTATAAGCCAATTTTAATAACAAAAAAATATTTTGGCGTATATATATTTAAATAAATTCTAGAAAATTCACTTAATACCTCAATAACTTCGCACCCAATTCAAGCCAATGGAATTAACTGAGCTAAGGCAGCGAAGTCACTCAGGTCTGTTCAAGACATACCCGAAAATTAATAATTAATCATGCTGTAATTTGCTTTCTTGGCAGGCCAGACATTATGGCCAGATGACCTTTTGGTCATTTACGCTTCTGGCTAAAAGCAGACGAATCCCAGACAGTCAACGCCAAGGGGATGATGATGGTGCACATGAATATTTAAGGGACACCTACATACAAACACGGTTTGGGCTAGATGGAGATGTAACTAACTTGCGGTTTTCCATTTGGCCAGAACTGAGGCAGAATTCTGGACCCAAAATGAAGCAATAGGTATACTAGATAGCAAGAAGAGAGCAAAGAGGAATCGAGTCCAATAAATTTGACATATTGTAACAACGAAACAAAGGATGTTTCTACTGGTCCGCACATGTCACTTGCAGAGTCTGAACTTCTCTGTACTCAATTCTCTTTCCATATCAATAGTTGAATTCTGGATTCAATAGGAGAATGTCAACGGTTGTCATTTCTAGCATTCCTTTTTTCTACATTTATTGGAACCCTAACCGCAAGAATCTTTGACCACTGTCTAAATGGACTGACTATAACTCATATGCAAAACCACAAAGAATTGCAAATGTAATTAACAATGTAATTTTGGCCTTAACATGTACCTTTACCACCTCGTTTTCCTCATTCTGAATGTGTACGTGGCTTCGAAAGACAATTGAAATGAGTA